TATGGAGTTGTGTCACTACCATAGTCACAGAACAGTGCCATCCCCCTGAATGAGAATCTTCTGTCTTAACACCCCCACTCGGAGCAAAGAAGTTCACCCATACACACACACATAGCCTTCCCCATGACAGGGTGATGACCTCCATCTAGGCCTCAGAATAGGATTTTACCATCTGATTGGCTCTTCTGACTTTGCTCTGCCTTCAGTCCACTATTTTGCTTGATTTTGGGCCTGTGACAGAACCAATTCTCCAGGGACCTCTCTAGCCTGACTTGGGCTGGAACATGTCCCTCAATGGTTGCCTGACCCAGGCTAGCCCAGGGCCAGCAGTGCAACAGGTCAGGCTCTGGCCCTCTACAGCCACGTTCCTTTGATCCATAGGACATTGTGACCGAAAGCAACAAGTTTGATTTGGTGGGCTTCATCCCCCTGTTGCGGGAGAGGATTTATTCCAACAACCAGTATGCCCGGCAGTTCATCATTTCCTGGGTAAGGTCCAGTCCCTAATAGGATTCTTCCAGCCACCAGGAGCCTCTGGTAGCATCACATTGGCTCTCTGATGCACCTTTGACAGTTCCTTTGGCTAGGAGAAGCCTTATTACCCTTGTAATAGCCAGCAACACCTGATCATTGAAATGCTTTGTCCAGAGTTGCCCCCACAGCCCATCCTATTTTCCCATGAAGAGATGATTCTTTCTTTGTCCCAGAAAATGCCCAGGTTTCTCTGAGGCCATAGTACTGCCTCCAGCAGTTCTACATCTGCCAGCCTCCTGGCTTGATCCCACCTTCCCCATCCATCCCCCTCTCCCTGGGCATCAGAATCACCTGGGAGTCCAACTCCCATTTCCTTATACATTGAGCAGAAAAGCAATCTCCCCCAGCACCCTCCACCATGGCCACCTGCGGTGCCATGACACGTGCCTCCATCTGGTCCCTTTCACTGCTGGGAGTAGTGTATGGGACTGGGCTTTTCACATAGGCCAACACTTCCCTACTGTTGCTTCCCCTGGTTCAGATCCTGGTTCTGGTGTCAGTGCCAGACATTAACCTGCTGGATTACCTGCCGGAGATCCTGGATGGCCTCTTCCAGATCCTGGGCGACAATGGCAAAGAAATTCGGAAAATGTGAGTAGGCGGGAGGAGCAGGCAGCTGCTCTCACTAGGACCCCTGAGCATGCCCATGGTCACAACTCCACGGCCTGGTAATCAGGAAAAGCCCTTTCCTTCTGCCCTTCCTTCCTCCTGGAGCAGTGGAACACTCATCCTCCCAGCCTCTGCAGTGGCCACCTGACAGGGTGACCCAGAGCAGAAATGGGCCACTGTGCTAGTTCATGCCTCTTTTTCTCATTGGTAGGTGTGAGGTGGTTCTTGGAGAATTCTTAAAAGAAATTAAGAAGAATCCCTCCAGTGTAAAGTTTGCTGAGATGGCCAACATTCTGGTGATCCACTGCCAGACCACGGGTGAGTGTGGAAGCACCACAGCCACTGTTGCCTCCATGGGAGCCCCTGTGTCTCACATCCAGGCACAGGAGGGAACCGTGGTAGAGACACTGCATGTGACACTGGACCCAAACGCAGTGGCATGGTGGGTCCTGATGAGGGAGAGGTCCAGGTTCTCTTGACACAAACACCCACCCTTTCACCTGCTCTGGAAATCTTCTTGCAGGCAAACTTTATCTTAGCATTGCAAGGTCGAAGCCTTGACAGTCAGGGTTGTGTTTCTGTTAGCTTCTGTTGGTTATCAAACCACAGGAAAACATAATTACTTAACAGCAATAGCCACTTGTAAACGGCCACAAATCTATAGGTCAGCAGGATGTTTTTGCTCCCCTAAGTCATGCACCTGAAGCCAGTTGAAGGGTCCCAGCTGAGTGGTCTGGGATATCTCACAAGTCTGGCCTGACTGTCAGCAGAGTCAGTGGGGTAAGGGGGGCTAGCAGCTTTACTATCCAGAAGGCTGGATGTCCTCAGTGGGATTCCAAGAGAGACAGTAGACAGGTCTCCTCAGACCTGAGCTTGAACCAGGCACACTGTCACCACCACTTCATGCTGTTGGCTAGAGTAGCCAGATCATTCCTGGTCAAGGATAGGGAAGTGAACTCCATTTAGAGATGAGACACGAGTCACGATACAGAGGGTCATGGATCCAAGGAGGGTAGAATATCATGGCTACTTTCACAGTCCGGCACAGGATTGTTGCTCCCACCTAGCCTGCTATCCCAGCAGACCTTCAGAAGGCAACATACGTGGGGACATAACAGTATCTGCACAGCTAGAAGCAGACAAGCCTGTGTTTGATCAGCCTGCTGGCGTAGTCTAAGTGCTTGGTGGGAGGGAGCTCTCCAAGTGTGCTAGCCCCTCTAGAAGCCACTAATTCCCCTTCCAGATGACCTGATCCAGCTGACGGCCATGTGCTGGATGCGGGAGTTCATCCAGCTGGCTGGTCGAGTAATGCTACCCTACTCCTCTGGGATCCTGACTGCTGTCCTGCCCTGCCTGGCCTATGATGACCGTAAGAAAAGTATCCTTCACTCCAGAGAGAAGAAACTAGACCAGTCCTACAAGAGGCTGTGAAATGGAGGGGACCCTGAGTGGGGACAGGCTCCCTTAGGATCCTTCATACCTCCAAATAGTCCCCTGGTGTCTAGGGAGCAAGAGGTAGAGCTGAATGTGGATTAGGGATGCAGGGCTAATGCTGGCTGTCCCCCAGTCCTCACCTGCCTGCTTCCAGATCTGAAGCAGTAGCCTCAGGCGCCAAGGTTCCACCACCACCCCAAGCTCTCCCTGCTAAATCCTCAGTCTGAGATCACAGTAGTGGAGAGACCACCACATTGAGATTCTGTAAGGAGCAGGAGGAGTATCTCACAGGGTTGCATGTGGTAAGTTGGGGCACAGGTCAGGCTGCCTACTTGCTCACTAACAACCTCTGAGGAGGACTGAGCCCCTGACTGGGAAAACCAGTGGCCTCCAGTTTCGGGAGGACTCTGCATGAGACTGCTCCTTACATCAGGGGACAGGCATCAAGGAGGTGGCCAATGTGTGCAACCAGAGCCTGATGAAGCTGGTCACAACTGAGGATGATGAGCCAGATGATCCAAAGTCAACAGCACAGAGGCAGACAGAACCCACCCCTGAGGACTCCCTGCCAAAACAGGAGGGGACAGCCAGTGGTGAGTACACTGTGTCATAGTCTGTGCTACTACAGAGGTCATGGCACTTGACTTGGAATCTCATATGTTAACATCTGTTTACACATGTTAACTCAGTTCTGGTACCTTCCCATGAAGCAGGCACTGTTGTTAGCCCGTCTGCATGCTCTGGCTGCTGGTTAGTCATCAGTCAGCTGCCCCCAGAGCCCATGCTCTTCACCCTTGCTGCCTCAAAGATCGTTGCAGGTTGCCCTCAGTCATCTTCTGGATCCATAAGTCATTGTTAGGAGCACCAGGCTGCACAGTTCATTTGATTCTCAGCCTGTTGGGCCCCAGCCCCCACCCTAAAGTCATTCTCATGGAGGGAGGGTGGGAAAAACTGTAGTTTATTAAGTACTTGTGATTCTGCTGCCCAAGCCAGTGCCTTTTAAAAGTAAGTTGTTCTCCTCTCCTTTCAAACCCCTTTAACATCGTTTTGTTGTTGTTGTTTTTGCTGTTTATCTGTAACTTAAAACCATTTTTATGCTGTCTGGGGATGGGATTTGACTGTGAATGTTCTCTAAAGCCCTGCTGGTTTCTGCCAGACCCCTGTCCTCAGTGAGCATCTCTGACCATCTTTGAAGCAATATCTTCCTTTGCATTCAGTCACAGAGTAAATTAATATACACCCTCTGTAGGTGTTTAAAGATAACACAGCAAGATCTAGAACCTTCTACAGGGTCAAAAGAACTGCCACAGCTCATCTCCCTGGGCTTCTCTTTGGGACATCAGAGACAACTTCAGACGGGCACCTCAGCCACCTCCTGTGGGTTTGACTGGTAGCATTGAGCAACTTTTCTTGCTGGACCTGTATTGGGTGTCAGGTTACCTCTGTGCCATCACTACTGTAAGTCAGAACAGTCAAACAGCTTGCAGACAGAGCAGGACACAGCTGGAGCATCCGTGGTTCAGTGGTAGAATTCTTGCCTGCCATGCAGGAGGCCAGGGTTCAATTCCTAGGCAATGCAGCAACCAAAGTTGGTTTGTTTTGTTTTTTGTTTTGTTTCGTTTTGTGGACTTATTTATTTATTTATTATTTATTTTTTATTTTTTGGCAGCACCTGGAAAAAGAAAATTGGGTGAGAGATGTTAGTGGAGGCCTTGTAAGGGAAAAACTTTCTTCTTGGAATAGACAGTTTGTTAACTCACAGCGATGTTTAATTTGGGTGTTATCTTTGTTTTGTAATTCTCATTTTAGAAAATTTGCAAAGTAGGGGAAAAGCACAAAGCAGCAAGACTGCCAGAAAATCTGCCCCCAGCTGGGGTGTGGTGTAAGTTTTTAACATACACACAACTAAACTGATGTATCAAAGAATTACATATCTTGCTTTTTGTGTTTGATGGTTTCCTTGTTTTTGTTTTGCTTTGCTTCATTTTGGTTTTGGCTTGCCATAGAAGTTAGTGTCTCTTAGTCCCAGTCAGCAAATAGAATTGTGGTTGCCTGAGCTGAGGGAAAAAACCATGATGGAACTGACTGGGAACAGAGCCTGGTTTCTTTGGGGGATGATGGGAGTGTTCTGGAATTAAATAGGGTGATGCTGCATACCTTTGTGATGGTATTAAGGACCACTCAGTTATATACTTTAAAATGGCAAAGCTGTGCTAAGCAAAATTTGGGGATGTAAATTGTCTCAGTTTAACAAAATAAAGTGAAGTTGGCAGCCCTGCCCCTCCCTTTCCACTTACATGGCAGTGAGTTTCTGGTGAGGAGCTGCTCCACCCTGTGGGTCATGGCAGCAGTTGAAACCCTCCCCGTAGGCTGGAGCATTGGTGGTTCAGTGGTAGAATTCTCGCCTGCCATGTGGTAGGCCTGAGTTCGATTCCCAGCCAATGCAGCTTCTTTTGTAGCTGGTCCTTCAAAGCCTTCTTCAAGCAGCTGCCTGCTCAGGAGAGCATTAGCCTAACAGGGTATGTCCCAGCAGCTTGGCCCCCAATTTTACCACCTCATAAACAGCATTGCAGGCTTTATAGTAGTTTCTAGACATGGGAGCAGCTCATTTCACAACTTTACCTCCACTCTCGGCCTTGCTCTCTCCCAGGAGAGAGTCCCAGCAAGCCACTAGACAGATGTTCCAGCCAGTCAGTGGGCAAGCTCATCCCAGCCTCCCTCATTCACTCTGCCCCTGTTCCACTCTGGACCACGTGGCTGCCACCTCTGACTGGCCTTCTCCTTTCTGTATTTCTCTTCTAAGCTCAGCCGTAATATCACATTCCTCACAGCACGGCTTGTCATGTCCCTCTGTGTGTGCACACCACCCCCCAATCCCCCAGAGCCGCTCCTTCCTCCTGAACTGCAGGGCCTCCAGGCAGGGCAGCCCCTCTGCATGCCTTCCACCCGGCCCCTGTGCACTTGCTGCATTTCCCCATTGGCCTGCCACTTGTAAGCCATGCAACACAGAGTCCTTTCCCTGATTGTGAGTACTTGCCGCACTTAGCCTGACCCTGTTCCCTAAATCCCCTGCTTGTCTTGGGTGTCACCACACAGATTCTGGCTTTTGAACAACCTGCCTCCAAGTCCTAGCTGAACTCACTTCACATGTGTTGCTCTTGACCTATAGTCCAGACTGAACTTGAACTTGAAATCCTCCTGCCTCAGCCTCCTTAGCCTCCACCTTGGCTGTGCTGCTTAGCCTTTCTAAGCTTACTAAGTAGTAACCTTTGTCGTCTAAACTGTACGTACGGTGGCTGTGAGGTTCAAAAATGATTTCTGCTATGTGGCATTTGGTAAACGTTCTCCACAACAGTGCTGTCATGCTGTCTTAACACTGGTGCTTCTCAACTTACAGTGGGGTTGTGGCTCACTAAACGGATTAGTTGAAGATATTGTGAGTTGGAAATGCATTTAGCCAGGCGTGGTGGCACAAGCCTTTAATTTCAGCACTCTGGAGGCACAGGCAGGTGGATCTCTGAGTTCGAGACCAGCCTGGTCTACATAGCGAGTTCCAAGCCAGCTGGGGCTACAGGGAGATCCTGTCTCAAAAAGACCCCTCACCCCCGAAATGCATTTAATACACATAGCCTGACAAACAGCATCAGCCTAGCCTACCTTAAACACATTTAGACTTACTAGAGGCCTACAGCTGGCCAAAGCTGCTCATCACAGAGCCTGTTTCCTAACATAGTGTGTCTCATGTAGTTTGGTGAACTCTTTCCTGAAAATGAGAAGAGAGTGGTTGTGGGCACACACCTTTGCATCATCAGGAAGTTGAAGTTACAGGTCAGCCAGAAGCATCAGCTGGTTTATTTAGTTCCTAAGGCAAAACCCGTGACAGAGACTCTGTTTAGTTCCTAAGGCAAAACCCATGACAGAGACTCTCGCTGTCTTGTTTCTCATCATTGGGTTCTAAATGAGGGAGGGTCAGGAATGAAGGAGCAAGCATGGAGGAAGGCTGACAGAGGATCTCCAATGGAGAGCTGCGACCTCTCTAATGAAATCCGTCCCTTTGCAAAGCTGACACTGACTAGGTTTTCAGCACCATCTACGGGCAGGTCCATCATTCACAGATCTGCTTGCAAGGAGCTCAGGGACAGCCACAGAGCATGAATTACAGTGATGCTAAGTACAGTTGTAGAGGGCTGTGCCAGGACCCTGAGGAGGGAACACAGACAATGGAGCAGGCCCAGCTTCCTAGACTCTGTTAACAGCAGTGTTCCCTTCTTAGTTTCTTACGCACCCTCATTTCTAAAATCCTGGTTAGAAAGGAAAGAACATGTTCCCTGAAGAGATCTTAGAAGGAACAAAGAGCATGAAGGTAGAGCCCACTGTGACGTCACCCAGAAATCATGACTGCTAACTGTGGGTGACGCATCTCGTAGGTTTTAAAGTGTGCAACTTGGTATTCACCAAGTAGTACAACCATCAGAATGATCTAATTTGAAAACATTCAAACATTTCCACTGTCTCCAAAAAGAAACTATGCAGTGAGCAAAACCTCAGTCCCCTCCCCCAGCCCTATACTGCTCTCTGGCCCCGTGGACTTACCTGTTCTGAATATTCTGTATACACAGACCATGAAGGAACACTGCTCACTGGCTTGCTCTCCTGGCCTGTGCTCAGCCTGCTTTCTTATATAATACAGGACCACCTGTGCAGGGGTGGCACCACTCACAGTGGGCCCTGGGCCCTCCCACATTATTCAACAATCAAGAAAATACCCTACAGACATGGCCACAGGTCAGTCCCATAAAGGCAATTCCCCAGCTGAGGCCCCCTCTACTTAGGTGTGTCAAGTTGCCGTTAAAGCTATCCAACACAATGGAATTGTTTGGCGCATGCCCGTTTGAATTTGGCCTCTTCCACTTAGCATGCCATTTTCAAGGTTCCCCCATGTTAGCATATATCAGTATTTCACTCCTTTTTATAGCTGAGTAATAACCCGTTGTGTAGGTAGATATCTGGGCTGTTTCTACTACAATTTTTTTTTTTCACTCACAAGCGATATATACTTTCTCTTTTAGCCAGCACTATATAATTAAGGATATTAATGACATTAGTCTCTAGATAGGCATTTCAAATGTCTTTCTTCCTTATTTGTTAAGGCTTGCTTCCCTATTAATTATAAATACTTATTTGTATCATTATGTTAGATACATAATGCCGTAATCTATTTAACCAACTTATTATAAGTCACTTAGCTGCTTCTAATTTTATCTTAATCTTATAATTCCTATTAAAAAGAACTTTCATACTGAAAAATCTTACAAACACCTATAATTATTTTCTAAGGATAAATTGATAAACTTAAGGCTTTCCATACCAAATTTGCTACCAGATGCCTTCCAGCTTGCTTACATCAGTTTCTGACCCCATCAGTGTGAAGTAGGCCTCCAAAAATAATTAGGGGTTCCCGTAGAAGAAAAACAAGGTCACAAGAAGGCCTTTGTCCCCAGTCAAGGAGTTCACGTGGGAAGTTTTAAGGCTAAGAGTGATGATAGGGCTGGCAACGTGGGTAGAGATGCACCAGATACGTGGCCTTCTCGGG